ACTTCTATTGCAGCATGCTGCAGAAAGACCCACTAAATGAAAATTTTTGCCTCTTTTACCTTTGGAGATTTTTTTGGGACAAAATAGCCCTCTTGAGGGTGAAAGAGTAAAAAAATCACTTAGGGTCTACCTGAAACAATATAACCACAGGGGTCTACCCATAGTTCGGCGCTAGTATAGGGTTAACCCTTTGAGTTGTTTAGCTTTCTTTAAAATTAAGGTTAAAATTCCAAAGATGCATGAACTTGGTGGGATGTGTGTTTGTATGTGTGTTTGTTGTTTTTTTTGTTTTTTGGGGTGGTGGGGGGTTGGGGTGCATGGTGTTCGCGCAAATTCACCCTGAGCTTTTGTTGTGTGTGCGCGCACAAGAGTTATACAAAGTCCTTGCTGGAGCTTTTGTTGTGCTCGCGCGCGCAAGAGAGAAACAAGTTAAACAAACTCCGTCACTCATAATATTTTAGTGAATAAAGTCCATGAGAGTTTTCTCAGATTTATGAAGTTCAGGGGGATTTGTGCAGAAACCCCCTAAACTTGGTAGTGTTTTGAAGTTTACGTCAAAACTAACTGCAGGAAAAAAATGAGGAGAATTATGTTTTACCTCAAGAATGTTCCTGCATGCACCCAACTCACCCATATTGTATCCCCGCACAGAATAAGGTCCTCCAAGAGTGAAAGCATCGTAGCTTGGAAGATCACCTACACAACCACCATAATGCCCATGCAAAACAAGAACAGGTGGTGGTGACTTGCCAGCACCTTCTTCGACTTGCTTTAACTGGATGAATCTGGTTAGTGTGAGCTGATGACGGTTGAAGAATGGGAAATTGGTACCAATTCCGAGGCCTTGATCTAACTGTAATTTAGAAAATACAGACAATCAAGAGATATGATATATGCGATTATTGGAGAGAAGCAAAACGAAAAAATAAATAAGAATCACATAAGATGCATAAATATTATTAAAATGATATGCTAAGATATCCATTCTTCCAGGCATTCCTACGGGTAGATGTTCCTAAATAACGCCTGTGGAAAAAAAAACCACTAGTAACATCCTTATTACACAATATCACATTGAAGTTGGCTCTTTTTTTCAATAATTTGCAACTATTCAATGGCTTATTGGCCAGCTAACTCTATTAAGTAAATAGGGGAAAAATAGTTTGTCATGCAATAATTCCCATTTTCCACGAATGATGTACAAAATCTATAACTTCCATTACATTTTCCCTTTTGGCTTTGGGAAACATTTAATCCAATGGGGGTGAATCAAATTAAACCTGGGAATCCAGTACTCCAATGGAGACAAAAATGTGCCATCTCAAACAATAATCAAGACTTAAAGGCAGACGATGTGCAAATTTAAAAACCGAGAACCTAGTCAACCAACAAATTACATATTTTTCTTTCTAAATTATGTGTAATGGATTTAAGCGTAGATAATGTCTATATCAAACATGCTATATCTATCACTCGTGAATATCTGAGCAAGCTGAATTACATTATTTATGCAGCAACATGTTTAAGTCACCTGTGGGTTGCAAACATGCATAGCCTACATGGTAGATCTATCAAATTGCAATAGATATGCAATTTAAGCTCAGTCAAACAAAGCAACATTCTGAAGTTGTCCCAGACTAAGAAGAGAAAGAAGAAGAAACATGACACCTTGCCATAACAAATTATATTCAAATATTGACGTACAATATAATATCCTAAGAAGAAAAAAGCATCAAACAGTCTCATCACTTCTTTTCATGAAAAGATTATCTGTAGCTTGGTGTCTGTGTGATAAGTCATCCATGCAAATGCTAGTACCATATCAACAAAGATGATCCTCTACGTAAATCTCATAAAAGAAACCATTGTCAGTTGTCTAGAAGTAGGGAAATCAATTGATAAATAGGCATTGGAACCTCTGGAAACAGAGATGCATATGAAGAATTGCAGTTAACAGTTCTATAAAACTAGAAGCAACGATCAGTAAGAGGACATGATACCTGAAACACATTCCTTTCACCAACAATTGCACCATTGACAAACTTTGTGTTGTCACGAGTAATGTTTGCTTGTGCAAATGCCATACGATCAACACCAGTACCACTCAAGGTTGTTGGAGGTCCATCCATGCTCAAAGCACCAGTAGGCAATTGCCGAGCACCATTAGTGCACACGGTACTGGTCTCATCACGTGTCGTGATCTCTTCCATTACGAGTCCATAAGTGAATTTGCTCTGACGAGTGAAGCTCTGTGAAATGCATATACATATCATCAGGATAACATATTTATACTATTGGAACCTTAGAGCAGTAGCATAGGATTCTGTCATTCTGAAAAAAACTTTAACATCTACCTCTGTTATATTGGCTTTGAGCCCTACTCTGTCAATCCATACAGGTGGAACTTCATCAACCCCAGGCCCACCAGTGAAGACAGGACTCATCTTGCGGCTGTTAAAGCAGCTAGTGCGAAATGTTCTGTTGCGAGGATTATACACGCCATCCAAGTAAGGATGCACATACTCAAGCTTGAAAGATAGATCATCCTAAACAAGCAAATAAGAGGGCAAACAAACTGTTAGCAAGAACAAATGCACAATTACAACACTAGTAAAAATGAAAAAGCGCTTGTTAACTGAAATTCTCCAGCTTTCTTGTTAAATCCCTATGCAACTGATTCCCTTATCCTTTAATTATCATCCACAGATTAATCCCAAATCAAACTTGTAAACTTCACCAGACTATGGCTGTAGTTTAAAATCCTTATTATGTAAAGTAAGCAGAATGTCCACATATGCAGTATGATATCCCAGATGCTTCTAATCGGTAAGCTCTACAACATATTGCTACAGTGTGAAAAGAAGAAAAGTGTTTAACATGTACGCCCTGTGAGCCACCCATTCTCCAATATGTATAAGGTTAACATATAATTGGTTCATTAATTTATAAAGGAAACATGTTGCCTAGTGCATTTTGACAAAACCTCTTAGATAGTGGACGTTCAACTCAAATCAAACCATATTTCCCAAATAAACATATACTGCAATATTTAGGATTCTCTCGTATGTAATTCGAGTATACAGAACATTTAATCATACATATAAATATTGCAAATCTAGGATGTTCTAGAGCATAATGATGTGTGTTACCTGAGGATTGAGGAGATTGCTAGATGTCACAGAGCCCACAATGGACCTGTTTAGCCCTTTGATGTTCCGGTGCTCAAATGTAACTGTTCCACCAGGTTGAATCGATGCCTGAGAACAACTACTACTTCAGTTTTTCTAAAATCCTAATGTGTGAAAAATGTTAAGCCATGCATATACAGAAGTAGAAAACATTAGGATAAGTTGACAGTACCACAGTCGGCCGTCCATATCGCCCGGGTACAATACTCCATTCAGTGCTTACTTCAGCTGACTTTTGCTCCAATTCTTTAAGCTTTATCTCAACAATGATTCCTCCTTCATTCTTCTCATCAGCTCGTGGATTCACCTCAATGTTGGAAAATAATGCAAGAGAATTTATATTTCTTAGAGCTTGTTTCCCGGCTTCAATATTAAAGACATGGCCTTTGGCAAGCTGCGACGGAAAAAAAGAAGTAAGAATATATGCTTGAAACTCATAGACAGGAGCTTTAAGCAAACTCCGTCAAGAATTATAGAAAGGCAAACATGTCATGCATTCAACCAAAATGAGTGCTGCCGTGAATTTATGGGGAAACACAACTTTTCTCTGCCTGAAGCACAATTCATAATAGTGCAAACGCAAGTGATTTGCAGCCTCTCTCCTGAGATTAACAAATAAATTCTGAATCGGACATTGTTAATAACAAATAACACTCATAGCTTATGTTATTCAAGATTGAGTTACCAATTCTGAAAGTTTTTTGCGTTCAGACATTAACGTGATTACCATCTTAATACGTTATATAACTTACAACATACACAGACGGGATTATCATCTCAACAAATATATATTAATAATAACACAGCCATTGACCAAAGTTATGAGGAATTGCTCTCAAATAGTTTTACATCAATTATATTCTTTTGTTTAGTCCTGTTTTAGGACTAGCTCCTTGTTAAATTGATCGCCATAATATCCTTCTTAATTGCTATTTCTAATGCATGTAAATTTTATCAAATTCATTTATTCAGAAACTAGAACAATCAAACAGACCAAAGCTGCTCTCAAATATTTCTGACATCACTAATTCACCTTGTCTTCAAAGGCGTTCCATTACTTCCTCTCCTAATTGAACACCCGTACCATAATGTAACTCTTTTCCAAAGGAAAAACACTTAGTTGAGAGTTAACACTCTACCCAAGTAAAATTGCAACACTCTGCAGATACCTTAAACGTTAGCTTTTAGTGGCCCTATCTTTTATCAACTAACACAAAAAGCAAGATATCTAAATTACTGCATATAATCATAAATCCTAACACTCATCAAGCAATTCAAATAAAAAAAAGTTACCAGATTGGGCAGCTCCCTTCGAATTACACCAAGCTCAGTATTGCCTTCAATTACATTTCCAAGCTTATCTTGGAACTGAATTGCTAACTGAGTAATATCTCCTTCCACAACCTCACAAACAACCTCCCTCGTATTCAAGTTCCCGAAATTGACCACCTGAGCACAAGCATACCCTTCATCATGGTACCACTTCTGAACCCGATCTCGAATTCTCTGCAACAATCTCGCACTCACTTTCCCTTGCTCCCTCAACATCTGCAGAACCTCCCTCTGCACGGGAATAGGCAAAAGGCACGGCCTTGATCTCTCAATCCTCCTCTTATACTCCCTCTCTTGACTCCTAAAGTACTCCATCTTCTCCCTATCCGTCATATCCGCGTCCATCTCCATCTGCTTCGTTTGAGGCAACAACCCCACATTGATGCATCTGAAAGCATCAGCAGACTGCCACGTGGCCTCAGTGAAGGAAATGGTAAGCCCTAGGGTTCCATCGGGCTTAGTTTTGGCCTCGAGATCGACCTTCTCGAACATTCCACAAGAAGCTAGGTTTTCGAGCTCGGCCTGGAGCTGAGTCTTGGTGTAGATCCCGTTGGGGCGGAGGGAGACCATCTCGAAGAAGGAGTCGTCGGTGCCGGCGACGGTGGATCGCCGGCGGCGATCAAAGAAGAGGATCTCGGTGATCTTGTATCGTTTCAGGCCGCTAAGCTTGGCCAGCTGAGGACGATTAACGTTGGCGGAAGGCCGTGGGAGTCCCACTCCGGCAGTCCCTCCGCCTGTCCTCTCCTTCGCGTTCGCCGCGAGAGCGCGAGAACAGATTCCACCAAAATCCGCCGCCCTCGCCCCTGCCTCCCTACGCTCTCCGAATCCGCCGCCGAACGCCGCCGCCGTAGATCCGCCGCCGGTGGATAGTTGGAAGAGGAGGCACACGGCTGGAGGCGGACGGCGCACGGGCGATGGACGTTAGGCGTTAGGGCTTAGGGTTTTCTTGTGGCGGTTGGAGGTTTAGGGTTTTGGGATTTTGAGGACGGATTGGAAAGCTGAGATTTTGGACGGGTTTTCGATGGCGGTTAGAGGAGGAGAGACTCTGTTGTGGAAATGGTGGGAGCCGAGGAAGCTGGCGCTGAAGCGAGAGAACGCCATAGCTCGCTGCGGCGCCTCCGAGAGAGAGAGAGAGAGGAGAGAGAGAGGATAAGGTGAATGGGAAATGGTGAAGAATTTATAAATTAGGGTTAATTGCATATTAGCCTCTTACATCATCCGTAATTTCAAATTTGTCTCTCAAATCTGCAATTTTATTATAATTTCTTGACGGCGTTAGTGTTTGTGTTATTCACCCTACTCTAATTGGATTATACTTTAACCCAACTGCAATTTTCTAAAGACCCTTCCCCCACACTTGTATAGGGCCGAAAATTAGAGAAATATTTAGGATTTAGAATGATTATTGTCATGAAAAAAAATGCTCTGAAATTGGTTTAGGGGTGTCATTGACCACCGGGGGAGAATAATTTTTCGGATTTGGACTTTAAGATAAGCGGGTTGTGGGACTAAGCTCACTCAGAAACAGGTTTGTGAGTTTTAAATGATGTCATGACGGATAAACGTGCTCATTCCGTCAAAGATGACCGACAAATTCCCCTCAAAACTCACATTACAAGCCCTGATGTGCAAGAGGATATAGGTTTGAGGGATTAATAAGCAAATACTGAAATTTGAGGAATTACTTTGTAATTATAAAGGATTCAAGGGACTAATATAGAGTTAACCCTACAAACTATATGCATTTTGGTGGGGAGTTGAAAATGTGTTTTGCGCGGTGTAGTCACCTTTGTTGTTAGTCGGTACCGCTGTTTTTGTTTAAAGAAAATTATTTAAGGACCCAAAATATAGGATCAATGGAGGGGACAGGTGAGGTGTGCCCTCCCTATTGCATAATGAGTTGGCATGGCCAACTCATTATGCAATAGGGAGGTTGAAAATGTGTTTTGCGCGGTGTAGTCACCTTTGTTGTTAGTCGGTACCGCTGTTTTTGTTTAAAGAAAATTATTTAAGGACCCAAAATATAGGATCAATGGAGGGGACAGGTGAGGTGTGCCCTCCCTATTGCATAATGAGTTGGCATGGCCAACTCATTATGCAATAGGGAGG